GGCACCGAAGGGGGCACAGGCAGGTCTGCCGTGCCTGGGATCAGGACCTGAAAAGAGAGCAGGGATGCAGTGCAGCCCTCCCGCCTCCCAGGCCATAATCTCCTTTTAAGGCCTGGCTGGTCTCCTCCTCCCTTACTTGGCCAGGCAGTGGCTGTGAGCAGGACTGGGGGAGGGGAGCCGAGCTCTTGCCAGCACCTCTGTGATTCAGCCCTGGAGAAGATGGGATTTGGCCAGGGCCTCCGGGGCCCTCATGGGGATGGGAGAGAGCTGGAGAATGTTCAGCCTGTCCTGTTCGTCTCCACAAACTGCAGGCGGATTCTCTAGGTGACTCAAGTCGGGTGCTCCTGGCCCTGAACTGGCTATCTGCCTTGCCGCAGTGCTGTCAGCAACCCCACGCTCTGCCTCTCCCGCCCCACCTGGGCCTGGTGGGAGGATGCAGCACCAAGGTCCAGCTCCCACTGCTGCTGCCCGGTGCTGGCAGCGGTGCCAGTGCTGATCCTCAGTCTGGGTGGGAGGTTAAGGCAACTCAGCAGAGCTGTCACTGCCCGTCTTTCCAGGGATGACCATGGCTTCAGCCCCCTGCACTGGGCCTGCCGTGAGGGCCGCTCCAACGTGGTCGACATGCTCATCATGCGAGGAGCACGCATTAATGTCATGAACCGAGGTGACGACACCCCACTGCACCTCGCTGCCAGCCATGGCCACCGCGACATTGTGCAGAAGGTATCAGCACTGACCTGCCTTGCTCAGCTAACACCTTGCCTCATGCTCACAGCCCTTCAGGCATCCCAGCCCCATACCAAACTGAGCAGGACTCTGGACAGTGATCTGCTCTGCTCCTCCCAGAACTCATTCACTTCCCTGCTCCCTGCTGATACCTGCCCGCTCCCTTATCATGTGCTTACTGCATCCTGCCTAGAGGCCTCTGAGCACCCCTCCAGCCCCACTCCCACAAAAGCTCCATATCCAGCATGAGCGCCCTCCCAGCAGCAAACCTTGCCAGGAGCAAGGCAGCACGTGTGCTGGTGTTGGTACTCCTGTCCTCTCCCAGGGCAAGGTGTTGGGGGGGTGGAAGGGAACCTGCTCTAGATTTATGAGGATTGTCCTGCCTCCAGCTGATCCAGTTCAAAGCGGACATCAATGCAGTGAATGAACATGGGAACACTCCTCTGCACTATGCCTGCTTCTGGGGACATGACCAGGTGGCAGAGGTGAGCGGAAACCCTTGGACACAGACAGGAGTCCTGGGAGAGGGAGTGGCTGAGGGGAATATGGGGGTGGGGGGATGGAGGGAGGGCAAGGCAGGAGGCTGAGTGCGATATGAAGCAGCTGAGAAGAAGACAGCAAGCTCTGTGAAAATCCTCACATTCTCCTCCCTCAGGATCTTGTGAGCAATGGGGCCTTGGTCAGCATTGCTAACAAATATGGTGAGACACCCATTGACAAAGCCAAGACACCACTGCGAGAAGTCTTGAAAGGTAGGATGTTCCTACTCTGACCTCACTGCTTGTCTTCAGCTCCTGCTGCAGCCCCTGTGCTCAGCATCAGCGAGTTTTCTGTACTTGCACTGTCAAACTCTTTGTCCCTTTCCAGAGCGTGCTGAGAAGCTGGGCCAGAGCCTGACCAAGATCCCCTACAAGGATACCTTCTGGAAGGGCACAACCCGTACACGTCCCCGTAAGGACAGAGCCTTTACTGACGGGGTACATTGCCCAGAGGGGAAGAGCACAGCTCTCCTCTGTGGCAGGGCAGACTTCTGGTGAGGGTTGGGAAGCGCCTCAGTGCAGGTGGCTCCTGGTAAGAGTGGGGTGCCCCACTGGCACTCCCTCCCTCTGTGCTCTCTGGGGACGTTAGGAGCAAGGTCCCATGCAACCAAGGAGCTCCCATAGGCTCTTTCCATCTCTTCCTCTTGTTACAGGAAATGGGACACTCAACAAACTTGCTGGAATAGACTTCAAACAGCTGAGCTTGGGCCAAAAACTCAACGAGAACCAGTCAGGAGAGGTGTGTAGGCCTGCTTGCCTCCATGAGACAAGGTAGCTGCACTCCTGCAGACCCCTGCTCTCTACTCAGCACCTGGCTGGCTGCAGAGTGCAGAACTAAGGCACAACTGCTTGGTGGGTTTCCATGTCCAAGTGCGGGGCCAGTTAACACAGATCAGGCACCTGCCCAGGACTGAAATGCCATGGTTTGCTCTTATGCTTTGTCACAGCTGTTCCACACAGCTGTGGCTAAGAGATGCTTGGGCACTCCACCACCCTTCCACAGTGACTAACTCCACCCATCTCCCTACAGTTGTGGAAAGGGCGCTGGCAAGGCAACGACATTGTCATCAAAATGCTGAAAATTCGGGACTGGACAACTCGGAA